ACCGAAGCCCAGACTGATGCACAATACAAAAAAAAAACCACCTTACAACCAAAATATGCGTTCCTCAACACAACACCCACCCCTCCAGCCAAACACCCAACTACCTCAACACAAACATCTGAATACTGTGTAAGCCCTAGCCCGAGCATTCAGCAGGAAAATAGACGCAAACAAAACTGTGTACAAGGCGCCGTTGCGCTTGCCTGGCAGAGGTTCCTAGCCTCTTGAATCATCGACTGCGTCCAGGCCTCCACCTGTTGGTCGCGCTGCTGCTGCTGCTGCGGGCTCTGGGACCCACTGCTTTCCAGCATCGCGTCCACGTACGGCTGAATTCGTTGCTGCAGCAACACCGCCAACTGAACTTCCCTCTTCCGCTGTTCGAACGCAAACATCTCCTCAGATATGTCGTCACCCCGAGCACCCTGCGACACAACAAACGCTCAACCAAAAACAATAAAGCACCAAGCCGCCGAAGGCGATGCTTGAGAGGTGCCGGCGGGGAGTGCCGGCCCATGAAAAACGAACAGTGACGGAAAGATATTTTCAGAGCCATACGACTCCGCCTTGGAGTACCAAAATCCTCCAAAGCCTTAACAATTCACTATGTCAGCGAGCTTGGGATGTAGCCAGAGGTCTGTGGTGCATGCACTGGCGCGGTGTGTATGCGTGTATCTGCAGGATGCATGCATCCATTTGGTGTGTGCTCGCATCTGTTTTATGTATTTGCGCGTATGCATCTGCGTTGACCGCACGCTGCAGCAGTGAACGTGCTGACGTTGAGCTATCTCTACATCCCAGAGCCCGATGTATTGCGGCTCGTTGTATGTTGTGTGTGCTATAGTGTGTCGAGATGTCACTATCCGTCGCAACTGCGTATAGAGCGGAAGTTGCATGCAATTCGACACGGTATGTAAATGTGCTGCAACGGGGTGCATGCGACAGCAGCAGCTGCCTGTACACCGCAGCAGCCAAGACGAAAGGTGGAGCTTACCCTGCTGCCTGGGGCGTCAACCATTTCGACGAACATGGCCATTTTAAGTTTTCCGATGTAAGGTTCGAGGGCCTCAGACCCAAAGAGCATCATGAAGAACAGTCCACTGTCAATGATGGGCATATCTTGCGCTGCTGCCTGGCCGTGCAAGTCATACTGAGCTCTCCTCTCC